TCTGCACTTGTGGTTACTGGTCTATCTGTGGTGGTCTGTTGTTGTTGAATTACTGACATACACAAAAAACACAGCAGAGGAAAGATATGAGGAATTCCTTCATAGGTTTCCAGAAAGGAGTTATTTTATCAACTCCAGTTCACTCAGACAAACAATATCCATATGTTGTTGCCAACATTTATGGTGAATATTTATTTCATAAGATTGCTTCTGACTTATTGGCTGCTTTTAGCAAATAGTTACCACAACACACACACACACACACACACACACACACACACACACTATACTGGGTAGGGGCATGGAAGAGTACATAATTTAAGACTGAAGCCATTAATTAGCTTAGGTTGTAAAAGTGCATTCGAAATCCAAGGCAAGGTTTGTTTTTATGATATTCTCTTAAAGGCAGGTTAAACTTCTGAGTACACAGTAGGAATAGGATGTTTGTTGTTTTTGTTTGTTTGCTTGCTTGCTTGCTTTGTCAATTTGACACAGGCTGGAGTCATATGGGAAGAGGGAACCTCAACTGAGAAGATGGTCCCCATCAGAATATCTGTGAACAGGCCCGTAGTGCATTTTCTTGATTAATGATTAATGTAGGTAGGCTCATCCCAAAGGGGTTGCAGAACAGGCTGGGCAAGCCTGAGAAGCGAGCCTCCCAGCACTGTTCTCCCACCTCAGCTCCTGCCCACAGGTTCCGCCTGAGCTGCTGCTCTCACTCCCTCAGTGATGGAGTCTGATCTCAGAGTTGTGAGCTGAAATGAACATTTTCTTCCCCAAGGTGCTTTTGGTCATGTTGTTTTTCCACAGTAATTAAAATCCTAACTTAAACAAAGATAAGCCTTACATGATCTCAAAGTGTACATTAACTTGGCTGTAAGGTCCCGCAGAAGTTCAATCTTTTTAAATACAAGAAATATTTTCATAGACTTGAATCACTAAAGTAGTGTATCATAACATTTTCCACAATAAATAAATGAAATGTAGTAAAACCACAGTTCAGTCACACTCGTGACCCCTAAGTAGAAAGACAGCTCATTCCTTCCTAGTCACTGCTCACAGCGCAGGACTGACAAAGCGCCGACTAGAGGGAGTGCTTTACCTTGTATACTCTTCTTGCAACTGACCAGGGTCAGGTGGGAAAAATTTTACTGCCAGGCGAAGCACCACATTCTTTGGCTCTGAAAAAAAAATAAAATAAAATTACACAGGTAAGGTTAATCTCTATATTTATTTTCTTTCTATAATAAAATCAAGAGATTTCTTAAACACACACTTATAAGTCCTTAACTACCAGTCATGTGTATTGGGAAATTTCAATACTTTGCTTTAAGCAGAGACTACTTGGGGACATTCTTTAGTAGGTGGGAAGTTACACATTAAAACTTTTAAATTAATGTCAGTATGGTGATCTCTGTGAATTCAAGGCCATCTTTGTCTACAAATCAAGTTCTAGGTCATCTGGAGTTATATACTAAGACCCTGCCTTAAAAAGAAAAAAGTTGGTTGAAAGGCTATAATGAGTCGGTAGAATCCGTGTCTAGAATGCACAGGCACGGGGTCCATCCTAAGACCCCATAGAAAGCCAGATGTGGTGCATATGTCTGTTGTCCCAGCATGGAGAGGGGGAGGGAGGAGGAACGGGAGCTCAAGATCCTCCTTCTCCACACAGTAAATCTCAGGTCAGTACAGACTACATGGGACCTTTCCCAAAAAGTATGATTAAATTACAGCCAGCTGCTGTGGTTCACGGCTGTAATCCTCAGCCTGGGGGAGGCAGCCAGCTGCTGTGGTTCACGGCTGTAATCCTCAGCCTGGGGGAGGCAGCCAGCTGCTGTGGTTCGAGGCTGTAATCCTCAGCCGGGGGGAGGCTGAGGCAGTAGGATTGCATCAGAAGCAATCCTAGGCTACACAGTAAATCTGAGGTCAGTCTGGGTTACAGAGTAAGACTCTGTCCCTAAAAACAAAAGCAGTATCAACAACAATTTAAAGAACAAATTTAGGTCAGGAGTGGTGGTGCATTCTAGTACTTAGGAAGCTGAAGCAGGAGCATCATGAGTTCAAGACTAGTCTGAGCTACAAAGAAGGACTTTGCCTTGAAAACAACCAAATACATAAACAGAATATATTCTTGTTTATATTTCAGGATAAATTACATTAAAATCATTACATTAGATCTGATATCTGGCCACTGAAATGTAACCATGCTGTATAGTTTTTAGGAGACAAGGAACAGCCTTTTCTTCTCACCACACCAGTCACTTCCATGTGTCCCTTTCCCTTAATGTAGTTGCTAAAAAAAGGTGTAGTCAATGCTGTGCACGATGGTACATGCTGGTAATCCCATCAGCTGGGAGGCTGATGCAGGAGGATTGTGAGTGCAAGAGCAGCTTGGAATAGGTGCGAAGAACCTGGTCCTCTTCCTGTAACCAAAATGCAACCAAGAAAACAAACAATCCTCAAACTAAAAAGGTTGTTTTGTTAAGAGTAGAAGTACTTGCCTGTATGTATCCGACATGCCTACCTAGTGCCATTCGAAGCCTGACACTGGAGTTGCAGACAGTTATAAGCTGCCATATGGATGCTGGGGACCAACCAAGTCTTGGTCCTGCAAGAGCCATTTCTCTAGTCCTCCAAAAAAATTTCCTAAAAGAGGCATTGTAAGGCTGAAGAGATGGCTCAGTGGTTAAAAGCATGGACTGCTCTTCCAAAAAACCAGGGTTCAATTCCCAGAAACCACACAGCAGCTCACAACTGTAACTCCCATTTCAGAGTATCCAACACCATCTCACAGACATTACATGTAAGCAAAATACCAATGCACATAAAATAAAAAATAAAAATAAACTAAGGCTACAACGAGAGACCCTGTCTCAAACAATAACAAAACCCCAAAACCAACCAAACAAACAAAAAAAAGAGTCATTCCAATGTCTCTTCATAATCTAGAAAGAAACTTCTGTTTTCCTCCTACATATTAACCCAAAATTAAGGTACCAAGGAACAAATCCTATGACTTTCAAATTTAAGGTAAGCTATCTAGGATGATTTGAGTCAAAGTATCCTTATGCTTGTTTTTATAGCTTAAAACCAACCATTAAATGACTTCAAGTTTATCTACTGTGATGACGTTACCACCTACACAAAGCAGTGACAGTGACTGTGAACACCTCTAAATTTACTGTTCAGAACAAGGCACTGTAAATGAGTTTTAAAAGAGTTAAATAAGGTACTTACTTCGTACTTGCCTAATGATGGGTTTCATAGGTTCAAGCCAAATCTAAAGAGGGTTTTTAACAGAAGAGAATAAACTATTAAATAATTTCTTCATTTAGTAAGTATACTATAAAATACAAATAATTAAGAAATTTTTATGACACATTATTTTATTCTATCGTCCTCTTAAACATTAATCATATCTAATAAACTGTATAGGAAGCTCAGCAATGCCTGCTTCAAGAAGCAGGAACAGCATTGATTTGCTGTAACTCTATAGCATTAATTTGGATAACTCTAAATTCTCAAGCAGAACCATTGTGGGCAAACAACAAACTACGGAGATGCTGCTGAGTGGAAGACGCCTGCTGTGGTAACAGAGGAGACAAATCCCAGCAAACCCACTGTACTGCTCAGGAGCTGAGGCCCTGGACAGAGCAGAACAACAACACTTTCTGATCTAAAGCACTGATAACAGTTTTTTGTTTTTAAAACAGTCACATCCATGAATAATAAAAGCTGCACTTTTTACAGATTGTTTAATAAGTAAAATGATGCAAAATCAATCCACTTGGCTCAAATTCAACTTGAACACAATTCAGATCTAGCAGGATGTATGAGTGATTGCCATGGCAACTCAGGTTTCTTTGGCACAGGTACTTATTCGTAGAACGAGTTTAGGAAAGATATGCATTTAGGCTTAAAGGCAGGTATGTTCCCCATTGGTGAAAATCAAGTACTTTAATAGCATAATGTATGACTTATCAAACATCTTGTTTACATCATTATAGTATGACATAAAAGGCTTTTTGTAATTATGGATGCCATAATTACTCTACAGCACAGACAGACCAAGTGTCCAAAAGCAAATCAAAAGCACATACCCAGTAGGACTGGATGTTCTTGAACTCCAGACCAAAGTAGTCACATTCAATCAGATTCAAACGCTTCCACACGTGCGTCAGTAAGACCTGCCCATCACACTTAGGCTGCAGGGAGACAGGTGAGAAGAAGCTCACTGATTGTGTGGAAAACAACAAAGGTTTATGAAAGCTGGCTTAAAGTTACATGTTTCACATAAAGTTACATGTTTCACATAAAGTTTTATTGAAATTCTTGCTTCATTTTGCCTTCATGTGTGTAAGATTCACAAACTATCACACAACAAATAAATGGATCTTGTAGTAGCTTAGAAACTGATAAACTAAATATATAAACAAAAACTGTCTTATGTTCTTATTGTGTTTAGTCAAATTTCTTTTTAATTTTAGACTACAGCAACCATTTTCAATTTCAGTTAACATATTATCAAATCATTTACCAATATAATTTACCAATAAAAAGCATCATTCCAAAGTCTATTTATATAGGGTTGCAGTAAGAACTTTACTATCTGATAGTACTTTTACATGCTGTGTAGCCTAGGCTGTCCTGGAAACTCACTCTGCAGACCAGGCTAGCTTCAGACTCGGAGATCCACCTGCCTCTGCCTCACCAGTGCTGGGACTAAAGGTATGTACCACTGCCACTTGCCTGAAAAACTTTTGATTAGTGAGATACTGAACAAATTATAATGCTCTAGAATCATACTGAATAAATAGAATTTATCTTCTACCTACACATAAGCTGAATTAAAAACAACAAATAGAGATTCCTGGTTAATAAATTAGTCCCAGGGTAAATTAAAACAGTGAGATTTCATTTCTCACAGAGGACCAGAAGACCTGTCTGTGAAGCACGGCTCCTTCATGCTGAAGAAGCTCTGTGCTTAATTCTTTTTTTTCAATTGACAAATGACAATTTTATTTTTATGCATAAAGGTTGATGAAAAACCATTACTAGTTCTAGTAAAACTGAACATTTCAATCAAAGAAGCATGGTAAGTATACTTATTAAATACCACTTTCTAGAAGTACAGCTTTAAAACATCTAACACGCTTTTTAAACTTCAGTACAATGGATCCGAGACCAAGAGTACAGGTTACATGCATCAAGGCTAGATTACAAATGATCATAGTCATCATCATCGTTGTCAGCATCATCATCATCTTCACGCTTTCTTTTCATCGTATTTGCTGACTCACTGACTGTATTTTGTGACACCATATTAGTAGTAATAAGAATATTTTTGGACCCAATTAATGATGGATTAATAAGAACATTCTGAACTGCTGATGTTGCAGGAATGGGAGCTTTTACAGCAGGGGACTGAGAAGCAGGCATCTGCACTGTAAACTTCTGTCCTGTGAGGGACATTGGAGTGCCTACTTTAGTTGAAACGGACATGGTTTGTGGAGTTGGTGTACCTAGTGTGGGAGTACTTGGCCTACTAGAAACTGAACCAGCACTTAACCTTGGAATCATTACTCTTCCTGCAGGAGTAGGTGCCTTTTTTTGTAAAGACTTAAGCCTATAGTTTGAAGCAGTTAAGCAATATCTATCAGGTGGCAATCTAGGACCTGAATATGACTTTATCAGTGGCAAAGGGGTTTGATTTCTTTGTCTTGCAATATCTAATAAAGAATCTCTCGGGGGAGGAGAAGTGAACGACCGGTCAGCTCGGCACTGGATTGCCAATCGTACATCGTCTGCATCAACAGGAGTTTTCTTAGCATGGCTTGAATAGATTTTAGCATCATCTAGAATTGTGGTCACATAGCGGAAGGCAAACTCCAGCATCTGATTTATAACTCTTGGCTCATACTCTGTAATCCCCATATCCTTCAGGATTTGTGCCATCATCCGTGCATCTTTCGGCATGCTCTTGGGAGACGCCATCTTGCCAGACTCCATGATATCCGGTGATCAGACTTCTCAAGCTACATCCCCCACATTAACGTACTTCAGGCCTGATCTTGATGCAAGTTCTTTGCCTAGTGTGGTTTTTCCAACCCCTGGTGTACTGGTGAGCAGGATGTTCAGAAGCTTCATCTCTATGTTTAATTCTTTGAGGTGAGAGACATTGCATGAGCCATGGTGCTGCGTTTGGATGTTACGGGACAACTTTTCGGAGTTGAATTTCTCCTTTCACCTATACATGGCTTCTGTGGGCTCCAGGGACTGAACTTATGTCACTGGACTCAAGGCTACCTTTCTGCACTATATGAAAAAACAAACAAACAAACAAACAAACAAACAAACTGGGGGTATGGGGAGCATGTTGCTGCACACCTTTAATCCTAGCACTCCGGAGACAGGCTTCCTGACTTGTATGAGTTGGAGGCCAGCCTGTTCTACATAGTGAGTTCCAAGCAAGCCAGTAACACAGTTACACATTAAGACTGTTGTCTCAAAAACAAAACAACAAATTCTTTAATACTATAAATTCATATGTGTATCCCTTGAGGAGCAAAATTTTTTAAAAATTTTTTTGAGGAGCAAATTTGGAAATAACTTTCAAAGTTCATTATGTATCTATCAGTCCTATAAAGTCCCCTTTTCCATATGGGCACTCTCACAAACTGCTCAAAGCTAATCACACAAGGACACATTAAGTAGAGGATTGACCAAACAAGTAAGAGTAACACTAGCAAAGTGTGGTGGCTCATGGCCATAATCTTAGCACCTGGGGAAGCTGAGACAGGAGACCTATTGAGTCTGAGGCTAGCCTGGCATATACAGTGAGTTCCCAGGTAACCCTGGGCTTCAGAGAGCTTGGCTCGCTCAAAACAAACAAACAAACAAACAAACAAACAAATAAGTTTGTAATGAATTTCATTACGACTGTAATGAAAGAGAACCCAGAACTCTATATACTACAGAATAAAGTCCAAAGGAAAAAGATCAGTTGAAAAATTAAAGGTCTCTCTGTTCACATAGTCCATGAAATATGTGAGGGCTGCACACTAAATCTTTAAGAAAATTATCATTATTGTACTGGAGAGGGGCAGCAAGAAGTAAGGCTTTATTTGTTTATTCTTATGATGCTGGATCAAGTGGCATGAACAATCTTTTCTTCGTAAGAACGGAAAGTAGGGGGAGATAAAAGTCTTTAGTGTTCAAAAGCACGGCATGCTCCAGATGTTCTGCGTAACTGCTGTGGTTAGTCTCTTAGGAGAAAAAAAATCCTTGAAAGAACAAACCCCTGAAATTTCTAATAAAGACAGTGAAAAAAAGTTGGATACCTTAAATGAGGACTACAGAGTGAACTTGAAAGTCTTGTGGGGAGGGCAATAAGATCTTACTATGTAGCTCTATATGGACCTTGTTATACAGACCAGGCAGGCCTCGAACTCACAGAGATCTCTCTGCCTGTGCATCTTGAGTGCTTGGATTAAACACATGTGTCACCACACCTGACTCCATTTTGCTTTCTGGTTTTATATAGCCCTGGCTGGCCTGAAACTTGCTATGTGAACCAAGCTGGCTTTAAAACCAAGACCGAAGTGGTGGCTCACACATTTAATCCCAGCACTTGGGAAGTAGATGCAGGTGGACCTCTGAGTTTGAGGCCAGCTTGGTCCACAGAGTGAGTTCTAGGATGGGGTGGGAGGTAGTGATGGTTTACACAGACAGGTCCTATCTTGAAAAAAAAATGAAAATAAAATAAAATTCAGAGATGGTTAAAGGCCAAACTGTGGTATGCCATGAAAATGTTAACTAGAAGAAAGAAAAGAGACTATTCTTACCAGACAAAGTAAACTGTCTGTTGAAAAACAGAAAGTCATTCTCTGATGCTGGGTCAGGTCAACCTGGAAGTGTAACTACATATACATGTACCCAACATCAGAGCACCTACTTCTACAGCAAACCGAGAACATGTGTGAAAGGAAGAAGCCGGGAACAGGATGCAGTTGGAGACTTCAACACCTCACCTCTGGTAATAGTCATAAACCCAATCAAGAAGCAGCAGATACAATGAACGGCATTGTAGACTCAGTGAGCTTGTTCCAAAATAGCTGAATTTTTTGTTGTTAAAAATGTAGTTATTTCTTCTAGTCTGTTCTCAAATTATAGTCAGTTGTTCCACATGTGCCATCCAAGCACCAAGTGCCAGCAGCTAAAAGACCACTGCAAGTTCAAGGCTAGCCTAGTCTACTTAAGGAGGTCCAGGCTAGCCATATAAATTATGTACTGTGAGACCTTGCCTCACTACCCCCACTCAAAACCCTGTAATTATATCAGGCCAAGCATTTAGCTTAGTGATTGATTGAGTGCCTGCCTGGTATGTTCAAAGTCTTGCATTTTTTATCACCAGCATCACTGATTTCAAAAAAGAATTGTCTCAAGATGGGGTTGCAGCAATAGCTCTGCCATTAAGAACACTCACTGGTCTTGCAGAGGACCCACATTCAGTTCACAGCACTCATATGGCTGCTTACAACTATCGTTAACTCCAGTTTCAAGGGGTTCTGTGCCCTCTTCTGACCTCAGCAGGCACCACATACTCATGCAGTGAGCATCAAATATCTAGGTAGAACAGTCATATGCAAAATAAGGATAATAAATACATCTTTGGTTTGTTTGATTGTTTGGTGGTTTTCAAGAGAGAGCTATCCTGGAACTCACTCTGTAGATTAGACAGGCTTCAAACTCAGAGATCTGCCTGCTTCTAAATCTTTTTTTTTTTTTTTAAATGAAGATAGTATATCAAGACGGGGCTGGAGAGATGGTTCAGCACTGGCTGCTCTCCAGAGGACTCAGGTTCAGTTCTCAGCACCCACATGGCAGTTACTGTCTGTACCTCCAGTTCTAGGGGATCCAACACCTTCACACAGACACACATGCAAGCAAAACACCAATGAACATAGAATAAAAATAAATTATTATTTTTTATTTTTTAAATTATTTTTTAAAAGATAATGTGCCAAGCATAGTGACATATGCCTGTAAACCTAGCATTTGTGACATTAAGGCAGGAGGATTAATGTAAATCTGAGGTTAGTCTTTAAAATACAGTGAGATTTAGTCTTAAAAACCAAACAAGCAGCTAGCACTTAAGAGGAAGTGAGAGACTAGACGACCTCTGTGAGCTTGAGGCCAACCTAGTCTACATAGCAAATTCCAGGACAGCTAGGATTGCATAGACAAACAGACAAAACAAGCTTAGAAGAACTTATATCAAGAATAGAAATTGAAAAGCATGTGGTGGTGTGAACCTGTGATCCCAGCACTGTGGAGGTGAAGCTCAGAAGATCAAAGTTTTCTTCTCGGCCATCCTGGGCTACATATGTGTGGAGGTCAGAGAACAACTTTTGGAAGTCAATGGACTACAACCCAGGAGCAAGGAACCTAGGTCAGAGGGCTAGCATGGTGACCATTGAGAAAATGATGCAAACCATGGATGGGACAAGGAGTCATTCTTCAAAATATACAAGCAACTGGCACAACTCTAGAACAAGAAACCCCACACCCAACAACAACAACAACGACAACAACAACAACAACAAGGATAGAGGCCCTAAGCAGACATTCTTCCAAAGAAGATGCAAAGGTAGCCAGCTGGGTATGTCTCAGATGGACAGTGCTTGTCTAGCATGTGCAAGGCCCTAAGTTGGATGCTTTGTAACTGAAAACGAAAAGGGAGGGGAACGGAGGAGGAAGAAGATGGAGTACAGGGAGTAGAGGAGGAGGAGAAGAAGAAAGAAGACAAGACCATCACTGACACAGAGCTTAGACATATAAAAAGAGGCTTAATAAGCTCAGACTTAAAGATATGTAAATAAAATTCCACTTATCATTACTCCCTGCCCTAGTCTGTATGATGACAAAATGAGGAGTCTCGAAGCACACAGTGTCGGAGTGTACTGTGATGCTTTCACATGAACCTTCCCCGATTTACTGGTCAATAAAGGCGAGAGCCTGTGGTTGGGCAGTGGAGGGGAAAGGTGGAACAGGAGGTTTCTGAGAGTTGGAGAAGAGAGGGAAGGACAAGAGGGGAAGGAGAGAGGACAGAGGAAGGAGAGGAAGTAGCAAAGATGGAGCAGGACCATGTAGCCAGGAGAAACCGAAAATAGCAAAGAGTCTCATAGCTGGGGAATAAGTAAGTATGATGCTAGTTCTGCCAAATCTAAGCATATAGCTTATAAATATAACTGGATTGTGTGGTTTTTGCACAGAATTGTTGGGGTTGAAAATTACTGTAACATGGAAACGTCAGAATTCTTTGGAGAGTCAGTTGTGTTGGTTGGATGGTGTTTTGCTGGGGCAAACATGTGAAGGAATGTTTTCCTGAACTAGACACAGGTGAAAGGCTAAGGCAGACTAAGGCTAAAAAGAAACGTTTGGCTGGGGCTGGTGAGATGGCTCAGCGGTTAAGAGCACTGACTGCTCTTCTAGAGGTCATGAGTTCAAATCCCAGCAACCACATGGTGGCTCACAACCATCTGCAATGAGATCTGATGCCCTCATATGGGTGTCTGAAGACAGCGACAGTGTACTTACAAATAATAAATAAATAAATCTTTAAAAAAAAAAAAAAAAGAAAAGAAACGTTTGGCTGAAGCAGACACAGGAGAAAGGATATTTTGCTAAAGCAAAGCATGTGAAAGCACACATGATAGATTCCTTGCTATGTATGTACACATATGTACTGGTCCACCTTACATTTTGTAGTTGAGCTACGTTTGTGTGGACTCCATAGGGAGAAATGCACCAAACAAAACAAAACAAACCTTCTGGTGCTGTGCTGTAGCTTCCTGCCACTTCTGGGGACTCAGGCTGGTTGGCAGTGATGTCTGCTGAGACAGACACACATGCTAAGGCTAGACCCGTGGAGAACATGTGATGTCTGGAGGGATAAACAGAACGTGACGGACAGTGACAGAGGCTGAGCTTGGCTTGTTTATAGAGCTAGCTGTGCAACATTTGTGAGTCTCATGTCTTGGCTGATCTTTACCACCCTGAGAGACGCACAGCTGAGAACTTCTCCTGGTGCCCCTCCTGCCAAGGCGGAGGCCTGGCTGTCTCTGCTAGGTAGTGCCACTGCTGCTGATTCGTGTTTGCTATCCCTTGCTATCCTAACTGTACCAAGCTGGACTACTGGTGTATCTGTGAGGTGTTTAAGGGTGGATGGAGCTGCCTCTGCTAACCTGTGAACTGAACTGCTCCAAAGAACCTTTCTAACAGGTTCACTTCCCCTCCCCTCCACATCCTTCCTTTTCCACTACTTCTGGTGGGGGCTGGGTTACAAGGAGGGGCAAAGCATTTAAGAATCATCTCTAAAAATAAGGTTTGAAAAAATTCAAGTTATATCAACCACTAGTGGGGCCCAGGCTGGGACTGCCCAACATCTTAAAAGTACTTTACAAAATCATGCATGAAAACAGTCAGCAGAGGGCTGCTTGACAAAATCTGAACATTCAGACCAGACTTGCTGGGCACAGTAAAAGGACTAAGGCTGTTCTCTGCATATTGAAATGGAAGTCTCTCCAGAATACAATGTTAAAGGAAAAAAAGTAACGTGACTTACTTTGGGCTCAGATCTTCAGATTTCAGAGATGGTCATTTGGTACTTGTTTGATGAGACAGGACCAAAGTGGCTCATGGAGACAGGAAATGAGGAAGGCAAGCATAGGAACAAGATATACCCTTCAAAGACATGCCCAGTCACCCAACTTTCTACAACTAGGTTCTGTTTCCAAATAACACAAAACAGCTATGAACTAATCAATGAATTAGTCCATTGTGAAAGTAGGAACTTTCATAATCAAATCGCCCTTCTGTATTGCCATCTGCTGGGGACCAAGCCTCTAGCAAATGAGCCTGTTTGGAGATGCTCTGTATCTGAAACAAACATCTGGTAAAGACAATGAGAAATCAATGGAGCAGACTCTCTTCCTGGTCCTGTAACCATGGGTGTGCTCCAAATCATACCGTCCTTTCTGAGAGCTGGCAAACCCCTGATGACAGGGTGCTTCCTAGGTATTGTCTGGCCCCTGTGTTTAACAACAAGGGCAAGTTTCACTGCATACTAATGAGACAGGCTTTGAAGCTAGATTCTTAGTTTCTATTGGGTGGTTATTTTAAGTCTTGGTTTTGTTCACTTGAAGATTAAATGCTATTCTTATCCTGTTGCTAGTTAGTTTTTTTGTCCACTTGACACAAGCTAAAGCCATTTTGGGAAGGTCTTTGAGCAAGCACTGGGGTATTTTTTGATTAATCATTAATAACTAATGTGTATGGGCTCATCTTATTATGGACAGTGCCACCCCTGAGAGTTATATAAGAAAGAAGCCTTGAGCAAGCCAAGGGGAGCCATGGGGAGCAAGCCAGTGAGTAGTATTCCTCCACTGTCTCTGCTTCAGTTTCTGCTTCCAGGTTCCTACTTTGAATTCCTGCCCCGACTTCCTTCCATGATGGACTGTGATGTGGACATGTAAAGGAAATAAGCTCTCTCTTCCCTCAGTTACTTTTAGTCATGGCCTTTTACTTTTTTTCATGGCCATAGAAACCCTAACTAAGCCAGCCTGAAAGTGTTTTCTAGACATTTAATGAAATAACAGGAAATAGGCTCTGTACCATACTATGGACAGGTCTCCAAGCCAAAAACCAATATATACCAACTTCACGCAGATAACAGCATGGGTCATTAGAAAGCATCTGCCCGCACACACCCTGAGGACGTGTACCCTTCCTGGGATGACTCCCACAGGACAGGTCCTCAAATATGCAACTGTCTTTTCACTGAGGGACTGTTGAGAAGACAAGACAACCCAGGGCTTGAAATCCCTTGATTATACGATGTATGCACATAGTCAAAATAGCATTTAATAACTTCTTCCTCCTCCTAACTACACATATGCACAGTAGGTGTTGTAGATGTGACTCAGTGCTAGAATGCTTGCCTATCATGTGCAAGGCTCTGGATTAGACCTACAACATTAGGAAAAAAAATATAAAACATGAAAACATTTTATCTTTATCATAATGTGCTTTAATTTTTAATTTTATGTGTATAAGTGATTTTTATATTTTTTATTTTATGCATGTATAGGTAAGATTTGTGTACCTGATCCCCATGGAAGTTAGAAATATAGCTTATTAAGTGTCATGATAAGCTCTGTTTTTAGTGTTATACACATCTGTCTTATGTCCATTCTGTATGTGTATGCCATAGTTCACACGTGCCATGATGTACCCGCACAAGTCAGTGAAAAGTCCTACGAGTCAGCCCTTGCCACCCCTTGTTTGAGGCAGGATCTCTCTCGCTGTTTTGCTACTGTGGTTTGTACTTCAAGTTCACTGGCCCAGAAGCTTCCAGGGAATTCTCCTGTCTGCCTAAAGCCTCACTGTAGAGTGCTAGGGTTGTAGGTAAGAACTACTGAGAAGGCTTCCACACTGGTTCTGGGGATCTGAACTTTGGTTATTTTGCTTGTATGGTTAAGTGCTTTTACATTCGCTGAGCCATGTCTCCAGCCACCATGTATCCATTTTTACCCTCTCACCTATTCTGTAGTAAAAGTTTACCTTCTGTTCCTAAAAATGAGGAAATTCAGTTTCAGTTAGACAGTAACTGCCTGTCCCCAAAGCAATGATCATGGGAAACAAGACCGCTCATCCACCAACAGAAGAACTGACATCATCCACAGACACTCAGACAAAAAGAAACCTGTTGTCACAATGGCAAACCACTTGACAATAGTCACCCAGATCAGAATACAACATGAGAACTACAGGGTAAAAAGCAAAACATTTTGTCCAGTGTTACATCATTTTAGTTGGTCATGGCATTCAAGTAAGTCTCTTTTCCAACTTAGACATAAAGTATATTGTTCAAAAATCTACATCTACAAAAGTGCCATTAAAGATTCTGTCTAGATAGAAATGGTCACAAAAGCTCAGCTAACAAAGTACTTCTTTATCCTTTGTCTCAGATCTGTGGGAAAATTCGTCCCAAACAGCTTGATTTTGTCCTCTGGCCTGTTTACCTCATGCACCCATTCACAGTTCCAGCCAAGCTGCTCCTGTAACAAAATCTGATCTGTATTATTAGCTTTATTACTTAATATTTGTTTCTTGTCTCAGATTTACGTCATCCTCAAGTTGTCCTTTATAGTATGTGATATAGCACAGTTAAGATAATCTTGCGATCTTACAGGCAACTGTTGCTTTATTCATTCAAGATTCACTGAAAGGTCACCAGCCTTGTGGACAGGCATCTTCAGTCTCATAGCTTGCAACCTCAAGTCTTACTTAGGTCCTCATGTATCCCTGGATGATGTGAATGGGTGCTTCTAATTCTGGTGAAGGCCTCTGCACCACTGAGGGAACATGGCTGACTACATGCATTCTACATTCTTGAGACAAGAGACTGACTGAAGACAGAGGTGGGGTGCACACCTCCAATCTCTGCACTCAGGAGACTAGGACAGGAGGACTCTTAAATTCAAGCCAGCCTGGGTTAAATAGGGAAACCCAGTTTGACAAAACCAACCAAGTAAACAGACAGACAACAAAGTCAAAGGGATCCACAGATACAAATTACTTTCAATCATGGTACATGGGCAAACACATGTTTGTCTGTCAGTGGACCATCCAATACTTTAAATGTTTATGTAATAGTTATCTTAAACTACTCTGTTGGGGTACACTTTGTGAAGGTATGTTTCTGTCCTTCCTAACCAGCCTAAGATGCACTGTGATTGGCTTTAATAAAGATCTGATGGTCAATAGCTGGGCAGGAAGTAGAAGGCGGGACTTCTGGACTGAGAGAGGGTCTCTAGGAGAAGAATCTGAGGCAAGATTTGCCAGAGTGACAGTGTCAAGGTTGGACATACTGAGTAAGTGAAAAAGAAGCAACGGCCCGTGTCAGACATGGATTAGAACTGCCAGGTTAATTAAGTTAGTCAAGCTAACTGGGAGGTGGCCTGGCTATAGTGCTTAAGCTTTTATAACTAAGTCTCCATGTGTGTCTCTATTCTGTGGCAAGTCCAACAATACTACTCAAGGAAACAAAATAACTTAAGATTCCAACCTATTAATTATCAGTAAGACAATTATTTCTTTATTGCCTCTCAACCCCAAATCCATGTTCCTCATCTATACTCTGGTGTTGGGGCAGGGCACTGAGGAGAATGAGAGTTTCTCTCCTATTTGAGACTTCAGGAATTCTTGCCAGTAGTGTGTAGGATGGCCAGTGACTTCCACTACCCCATGAAATTCACTGGCACTCCAGCCCTGGCCTGCCAACCTGTTCCTTTGGCAGCAATGAACTTCACCATCATGCAGTGATCTGAATCTCAGCTTTGGGGAAAGAGGCCTTTCCAAGTTTGTTACTTCACTCAGTTTTCTTTTCCTCAGCTCTAAGGGGGTGGCTGCTCAGTACAACTCTTGTTCCTTTATTTTTTAGCAGTGCTCACTCCTCCCAGTCTTTCAGTCAATCTGTTATAACTAGTTAACGGTTATTTCTGTTAAATATCTCAGTTTAAGACCCTAGTGTAGTATAGTGTCTTTCTCCTGACTAGACCATGAGTAACTAGATGGGCAGATGCTTGCACTGGCCAGCCTTGACATTTTTAGCTTGAAAAGAGGGCCTCAATTGTGGGGCAGGAAAGCCTGCAAAGCTCTAAGTTGTTAGCACGACTACAGCAATGTAACGGGAGTGGAAGCTCTACACAACCAGGAAAATCTTACAGTGTGTGAAAGTGGCTTGGAGAGGGACGCCAGGTACCCTTTATTAATAGAAGGGTGAGTATATGATACATGAAAACAGAACCTGCCACTGGTATACCCTCCCACCTCATCCTGCTGGGACCCTGTTCATTTACACTGCTTGCTGCAGCATGGGGACCCATCTCAAACCACACAGATAAAGGAAGAGTGACCAAACACTCCTCTCAAATTCCTAAACTACCAATGCCTTCCTGAAAGGCAGAAAATCAGATTCAATTAAAAAGAGCATTATGTGGCACAACAAACAGGAAAATATATTTTAAACATTTTTATTTTTTAAGATCTATCTTTTATTTTATATGTATAAGTGTTTTGCCTATACACACACATTCGAATTTCCATAGCTGGTTTTAAGTGTCTATAGAATATTATGACAGGACACAGTCACAGTGACGGTCAGACATGTATGTGGTTTATAATAGAACACAGTCACAGTGACGGTCAGACATGTATGTTGTTTATGATAGGACACAGTCACGGTGACAGTGAGACATGCATGTGGTTTATAATAGGACACAGTCACAGTGACGGTCAGACATGTATGTGGTGGAGACAAAAATAGACATGTAAAATAAACTCAATATTTTAATAAAGTAAAAAATGGAGGGGCTTCTTTTCAGGAAAATTAAGAAAACTAAATCCAAGCTCCAGCAATGCCCTAAAGCCAGTAAAGCCAGGTACGGATACCTGCAGGGTAGGAGGCCAGAAGCCAAGTGCAATTTCAGAAGAACCCTTGAATAACAAACACATGCTGACAGCAAATCACATAACCTTTGCCTTGAAAACTCAAGCCCTGATCTAGATAAGGCTAGAGACCATGGAAGCAAGTCTAAACATGGCCAGGGATGGCTTGGTGAAGCCATACATATCGACACTCTGGCCTCCATATGTATTTTAAATTTCAACCAGGTTATAATCAGCTTAATTCAATGTAAGAACCTCCCTAAAACAGCCAAACCTTGAACAAGTGCTTTGCTTTGAAGAGAAGCACTAAAGTACTCAGATATTCATACACAAACATGGATAATCAAATAGCCACTGAAAAATAACTGAAGCAATTGCCACCATGAGATCGGCACAAGGTATGACAAAAAAAATCTAGAAAGTGTCACCAAAAAAAGGTGATTTGGATGAGAAACCTTGTATGTCTGCATATTAGCTGTGTGACCTTGGATAAGAGAAGAGCCTGGGAAGCCAGGCAGTGGTGGTTCATGCCTCTAACCCCAGCAGAGGCAGGCGGATCTCTGGAAGTTTGAAAGCCACCCTAGTATACAAAGCTAGTTCCAGTATAGACAGAGCTGCTACACAGAAAAATCCTGTCTAAGTAGGAGGAGGAAATCAACAAACAAAAAACCAGCCCCCATCCCACCCCTGAAAAAGTAGAAGCTAGGTTACTTATCTTTTCAAAATGGAATTGAAAGCTCAGGTTGTTATAACACAGGCTGTATATATCACAGGCTGTATATATCATAGGCTGTATATATCACAGGCTGTATATATCCAGGCTGTATAACTGATCTACATTTGCCTCACGGTTCTGGAGGCTGGAAGTTTAAAGCTAAGGTTGCAGTAGACACACTGTATAACGAGCACTCCTTCCTGGTTCAAAGACTGGAGTCTTCTTGTAGCTCCACATAAGGAGAAGAGAGCGGGAGCAGCTCTTCCAGGTCTCTCCTTACACAGGCATGGATTCCATTCATGCAGTCTCCACTTCACTGATCTGATTACCTCTCAGGCCCCCAGCTTGAAATATCATCATTTACACTGTCAACACTTTTTAAAGGACACAAATGTTCAGTCTATAACATAAGAATTATTTAACTTGGTAAGATAATCAAAAGCAAAATTTAAAAAATAGTTTGAACAGAGATGTGGGAGGATAAAGCTGCTCACAGAAGATGTAGGCTATTAAATGAATATTCTAGTTCCAGAATGGGCTACTTCCCTATAATCTGATGGCCATGGAGGTCCCTAAGGCCCTCCAATACAAACAATTGCCACAGCTCTTGGTTGCCTACTAGATCTAGTTGGTAAGATCTTATTAGTGAAGATACTATAGGCCTTAATCTCATAACAGAGAAATCAAGTCAGAACTGGACTTGCCAGTCCTCCTAGCACTGGAAGGTACTGTGTAGGCTGCTGGGGAGAACTATAGTCAGCAATCTTACTCAGCTGCCAATTGTATGTGTAACAATGCAAACTGGCAAGAGGGGTCTAGGTGCAATGATGGCAAACTGTTATGGGTGTAACCAACTCATTTCTAACTGGATTTGATGTCCGCTGCACAGGAGGAAATTCACATTTAATACTTTAAACCTAGTCAGAAGCCCAGTGGCTAGGGAGGTCATAGAAACTAGCGCAGAGGCCACTGCTGTTGTTTTGCTAACTAGGAACTCTGTTCTTGTCAGATCACCGTCTAAGTAACTATGTTTATGTCCACGGAATAGTGCTGCTGTCAGTGTTGGCAAAAGAAGCTTTTCCCCCAACAGTCAGAAATAACTGTAGAGATTCAAAACTGGACAAAGCACAAGAGTTAAATGACTACTGAAAGCCAGCTATAAATGGGACATTTATAATACACACCCAAGACTGAAGGAAAATCAAGGAAGAAGGGATGGAAAGGATGTACGGCAGGGGAAGTGGGGAAAGAGGGGCAGTGTGGAATGCGGACTTATAGGCATGACATAGTAGCTGTACTCACAGCACATGTGACTATCTGTTCAAGCCCTCCATAAGACTGGGTCTCTCAACACCCTGGGAGGGAAGGAGGATGGACTCATGTTGCCCCACCCCTCCCCTGAGGATTTATTCACCAATAAATTGAAGATTAAAGAGACATTTTCTTCAGCTGTGTAGCACATGCTTCTGTAAACAAACTCCCACTAACATTCCTATAAGTAACCCTGTATTAATCAGTAATCAGTTTAGAGTAACAGAACTGATAGAATGAACACACACACACACACACACACACACACACACACACACACACACAGATCTACTAAGAGAAGCTTACAGACTGTGATCCAGTTAGTCCAACAGTTACAGATGGAAAAGCGAAGAATCCAGTTAATTATTCAGTACAACAGGCTGCTTGTACTGAATGTCTCAGCTGCTCTTTAGTCTATGCTGGAATCCTGAAGCAGCAGGTTCTGATACCGAAGAAGGACATGCCTCAGCAGCAGGACAGACAGCAAGAGTGAAGGCAAGCAGGCAAATAGCAAAAGCTTCCTTCCCATGTCCTTTTTTTTTTTTTTTTTTTAAGGTTTATTTATTTTATGTATATGAGTACACCATTGCTCAGACATACCAGAAGAGGGCATCAGATCCCATTACAGATGGTTGTGAGTCACCATGTGGTTGCTGGGATTAGAACTCAGGAACTCTGGAAGAGCAGTCAGTGCTCTTAACCACTGAGCCATCTCTCCAGCCCTCCCATGTCCTTTTTTGTAGTCTGCCACCAGACGGTGTAGCCCAGACTCAAGGTCAGACTCCAAACAACCCAGATTTAGGGTGTGTTTTCCCACCTCAATGATTTAATCAAGAAAATCCTTCAGAGGCATGTCCAAGGTTTTAGTTGATTCCAGAGGTAGTCAAGTGAACCACGATGAGCCATTACTGAACCTAATGCTATTCCTAGTTATCTCTAAATGTGACTTTAAAAAAAAAGGTATTTTTATTTTATTTTATTTATTTGAGTATACTGTAGCTGTCAGACACACCAGAAGAGGGGATCAAATCCCATTACAGATGGTT